AGGCAAGGACGCAGGTTTGCGTTCAACATTGGTACAGACCAAATCGGCCCCAAACCCCCACCCCCCCTAAACATGCACAGTACTCCAACAGTATTGGTAGGGACATGTCCATACCCAAATCTACACTCTTTAGGACTGGCTGAAAGTTGGAGGAATCAAAGGTCAAGGATGTAATCATGCTGTCACGAAGAGCGCAATGAGAAACATTAGCTTGATACCCATTCATGGGCAAGTTAATGGTAGGACCTCAAAGCAATTAGGATTTCCACAATTTGGGTACATATATATATGTGCAGTAGGCTTACTCCTCTTACCTCTCCTCTTAAGCTTTAAAGGTTTCAGCAAAAATTAAAGTCAATGTGATAGCATTATGCTTTGCTTGTGTGTATGTTTGCAGTTGTATATGTATAACTGCCTACCATCTGGTGCTTAATTTCTTGTCTGTGTTAATTTTTCCTCTAAATTTGACTGCAGTTTTTCCAGGTGAGTTTTGGAAATGGAATGGAGGGGTTCCCTGGGCTTGCCATAGTTTTGTGCTCAGCAGCTGTATTTGATGTATCCAGTGGCACTGGATTTTCTCCCTACATCACCAGTCCTCCTCCAATCAAATTTGTCATCTCCAGAACAGGCTGCCAATCCGAGCATGAATATCAGGCTTTGTGGGTAAAAGATGCTGTAGATATGCCTGCAATACCAGAGACCTGGGAGCAAATAGCACTCTGAGTCATGCCTCTATGTTTAGTTCAATATTCATCCATGTCCAAATTAGGCAATGGTGATGTAATATTATGGGGATGGACTGGGTGTATTGACCAATGCATTTACCAATGACTGTCCTCTAGTTTTCTGTTTTTGTTCTGCTTGTAATTTGGGAGGTGAAATTAAATTAAATAGTATGTGTCAATTTGACTGATGGCTAGTTAATTTTTATAGTTAGCTATGTTGGATGGAAATGAGTTTGGACAGGGGTTGTTGGATTTGGACCAGACTGCGGTAGCTGAATGAATGATCTCACTCACGTGAAGGGGACACCTGGAAGTCAGCTTGCATTCCAGCTATGTAAGCAACCTAGTCTTTAAGGGCTGGTACCCCCCTCACCAGATAAAAATACTCTTTTAGGGGGGGGGGGGTTCCACAAAGCAGGATTTCTCAGTTAGCTGGGTTAACATAAACTAGAAGTCATGATTTTGCAATAGGAAGCCTCCTTACCTGAAATCCTATTGGACAGTCATGACTGTTAGAGCTTCTCTTAAATTAACCCAGCGACTGAGAAATCCTACTTTGTCGAACACCCCCAGATTCCCTTCTCAATAGTTTTCAGTCTTAACCTGGGATGCCCCAATACTGGTTTTCCCTCTATCAGAGCTTTTATGAACTCCATTTAAATAATGGATCCCTTAATTCCCCAACTGTCTAGTTAAACAAATTTAGCATTCTGTTCCAGTGATGGTTAGTATGGTGGCCCTGAAAGCCCAGAGCACATCAACATTAGCACAACGCACAAACATTAAAAAAACACAAAAACATCAAGACAAAAAAATTAAGCCAATTTATTTTTTAAATGTGTTGTTCTCTTAATGTGTTTTGCGGTTTTCAAAACCAAGGTTGTACAGTATTAAGCTAGAGACAGACCATTTGGGCTTTATAGTACATCAATGTATTTTCAAAACTAGAAAATCGATGACACTACTGTTTGTATCGATTTAAAATTAGGGCTTTATTAAAGATTTTGAATAAAGACCAAAAGTACTCCTTCCTGGTTCTAAACAATGCGGAAGCTTCGATATTGATGTTGCATAGATTCCCAGAATCACAGCTGCAATCAAACCAGGGTGCGTTTCTCAAATGCTTTTGTAAGCAACTTGCACTGAATTCAGGTGCCTTGCTAACATACCCCCATTCAATCAGCAATATATGCTCTTTTTTAGTGTTGTTTTTAACTATGACTACATTTACACATGATAACCTGATAAAAAAAATTTGTGTGTGATTTTAATGACCCGATTACAGACTTGGTCATGTAGACACTGTAATCAAGTTATTAAGAACACATGTAAACACTGTAGTGGGGCTATGGCATGTAAACAGTCATAATCAGCTAGCAGGCAATGGATCTCCCTCACTTTGTGACTTGGGGAAGCTGCATGTTGCTCTTCTGCATGTTCCGTAGAGCTGGATGATACTGACAAAAACCATTTTGGTATTTTTAGGCAGAATAGCAATACATAATATTTTCTGTTAACGGTTTTTAATGTACAGTTTTAAATAAAAGCCATATGTGACATATAGCAATTTAATTAAAGCAATGTATGGACTTCATTCCTTGTTGGCAAATATACAACTATTCTGTATAGACATTTTCTTTATTCCGACCACACGTCTCAAAATAAAGACAAAAATCAATGTATGCCTGTATCTGTTGCATTGGTTAAATAAAACAATCACAACATAAAAGCTACTCACTCAACTACAGGTACGTCCACCAACAGACTCATTTTTGTCTGTTTATGACACTGCTCTCAAAACATAAGGTGAAGGTTTTTTATTTTCATAATCTAAATCTAAAACCTGTTTCACTCGTGGGTACTGTAAGTGTTTTCTGAATTTGTAGCCCATCAACACTAAACAGCTACTGTAGATATTGGTGTCAGAGGCAACCAGAGTTGAATACTGCCCCCTGTGAAACATGGAAACACATCAAATCTAAAAATTAAATTCTTAATTCTATGACTCGACGTTTTTTTGTCGTCTCTTTGTTTTTGCGTGATCTTAATTTTTTTTTTGTGTTGTTAATGTTTGTGTGTTCTGGGCTTTCAGGGCCACTGTAGATTACTTCTTAGAAGTAAAAAAAACCTTATACTATATCTTTTTGTCTTGTGTAGGCACACCAAAAACCTTCTTACATGTCTATGTGGCATACTTTGAGTCGAACCAAGACTACACTCAAGTTTTTCTGTTGGCACTGAATACTATATAATACTTGTTGCAATAACAATAACTTAACCACAATGTATGTATTATGTGTTTATTAACGTTCTGTAATGGTTGGGAAGAAGGGACCTTGTGGTATGCTAGTCACTTAGGAGAGAAGCTGAATGTGCTAGTAAGGGCTCGGATAGAGGCAACACTCTGTTGCCATGGCTCTGTGGGACACTGTTCTCTGTATGCAAGAAAGCTGTGAAGGACATTTCTAGCTCTGACTACTTCTGGCTCAGAGGCTCATTTATTGTACAGCTGCACTAGGTTCCCACTCTGCTTCCCATCATCCAGTTTGCCCCGATACGATTGAATCCCCCCAATGGCCACTGACACTTCAGCCTCTGATTTGCACAATGGCCCAACATAATGATTGAGGCCTCCTGGCTTTCTCTCTTTGAGTCGAGCAGCCATGCATACAGAGGGTTAAATATTTTGCAAGCCAGCTTAGCCTTTCTGAATGTTATACTTTTCCAGCGGGTTCTCTGTTCTTCTGGGGGGGGGGGCTGGTGTCCATGAGATTGACTGGGGCCTGGCTGGTCAGCACAGGAATGCGATGACAGAGTTCTTCTTCTGAAAATCGCCGTAGCTCTTTTTGTGCAATGGTGAAAGTAGGCTTTTATGTAGCACTGCAGATGGGTTTGAAATCTTTTCATGCCAGCAGTCCACCTCCTCCCATCAGGGTCAGGACAAACGGAGGGTGTGGGGGTGGCCTGGGCGTCTATGAGGGTTTCCTACTCACCCCCCTCCCCCCAGGAGACTGGTCCTTGAGTGTAGAAATTCTTCTTCCTAGGCCAGTGATAATGCTGAATAAAGTGTTGTTCTACCTGTAGTATACTCCCACCCTTTCCATCACTTATGTGTTTCTCTCTTTTTTTTTTGCAGTACTAATATTGGTGTTGAGTTTTGCAGGAGGGCATGAGTGGAAAAAGCAAGTTGTGTCACAAAACCCAGTATAAATAATTTAGAAAAGTGCTGCTAAGATTAATACTTCTTTTGAGGTATTGTACTGATCAGCAGAGGGTTTGGCATGTGTGGACTGAAAGTGATCTTGCTACATGCTAAATGCAATAAATTCATCAATAATTGAAAATGACGTACCTTGATAATGGAGCTCGTCGGTAGGGTTCTATATAGCTAAACTGTGTTTCTGCTTCAGGGTACAGGTGAATAAGGAATAGTCAATTGCCAAGAGAAAAACTACATTCATCAACAGCATGACCCAGCTGTCAGACAGCTGTCAAAACATTGTATTTTTTATGAAAGTTCCTAAAATATTATGCAAAAACATATACAGTGCTATTGGTATGTCCAGCTACATTCTAACCATGTTCTAAGCTATTTCTGGGGTATGGCACAGGGCTGGCCTGTATGTATATCAAAGATAAAAAGAAGAATAAGTGGGTTTATATGTCTTCCTCCCCCAAAACTCTTTTCCGTTTCTTCTGTTTGCCTCATACATTGTTTGTTTTCCAAAGACTGAGACCTAATTATGATGTTTGATGGAAATGCACAACATGTGTCCCCAGAAGCAAGTTAAAGACCTTCTGCTATTTGACAGCACATTTTAGAACTGGGATATAAGATTCTATCAAGCGTATCTCACTGTCTCACACCCTCCACAATCTAAACAGAATTAGCTATTTAGTCTGTTTATGGTTATCAAGGATGCCTTTCTGTATCAGGAAACCTTTAATGTTACAAAAAAAGTTGTGCTTTTCAGTAGTCCAACCTTGTTGTTTTTGACTGATCAGTGTGCACAGGCATGCATATGACTCATTGTGGATTTTCGTTGTAGTAGGCGGGTAAATTCAGTATTTCAGGAGAGTTGTTTTGGTGCAGGCAAGGCTATTTTACCATTGATGTATTGTTATTAACTGCTGTAAAGAACAATCCCTTTCACAGATGCCCAGGTCATGGGGGAAGGGGACCTTCTTTCCATGAAGTTCTGCCTTTCTGATAAATCGTCTGTGCTGTACCTTTTGTGTATAAATTAATTTACGGTTATGAATCATTTCTTACAGGGTTGATGGTGTGGTTTTGAAGCAATGGGACTCCAGTTTTTTTGAAGAGTGTTACACAAAGAAGCACAAAGACCGCCAAACACAGAAACCCTGAAGAGACTCCAGCGGAGACATCAACCTTGTGGGAACACAGGTCACCTCAGCCAATTGTGCCTGTTTCCTCTTGACTCTTTCTTCTGAGACAGGGAGACCTGAATTATGCACAATAAACTGCTGGTCCACATGGACGGAGGGGGGTGGCCCGACCCCACCAGGACTACCTTGTTTATGCTCGGGTTCTTAATTTCAGTCACCCAGGGCAGCTGGGGAAATGTTCTGGTGGAAGCCCTGGAAGAGCAGATTGGCCAGCTAGAGGCCTCCATGCACTCTTCTGTACTGTCTGACCTGCGGGAGGCTACGCTGGCTGTCGGGCCACCAACAGGAGCTGGGATCCCAGATTCCTCAGCGACTGTGGGCCAGGTGTTCAAGATGAAGTTACCGGTGGAGGTCATTGCCAGCAGCAGTGTGGTGCAGGTAAGCAGGGGTGGGGGAGACACGTAAGGGACTCTGGGCACTTTGCTGTCTATTTTGTAAGGTCTATCCAGAGAATTTGAAAATCATTGGCCTGGTCAAGTGGAATTGATATAGTTTTAGGTAATCCATCCATTTTCCATAATTGCTCATCCAATACAGAGCCTGCACCTTATCGCTTTAAGCAGGGATTCACTTTAGAAGCACCACTTCACCTGAAGTGCGTGTCTTTAGACCATGGGAGGAAATGCACAGTGCTGCCCTCTATGTAACCCAGCTTTCAAGCAAATCATTTGTAAATTTATTTTGAACTAATCATTTAAATCTTGCCTAGTAAATTCCATATGACAGATTAAGGGTGTCAAACTCACTCACTGGCATGGCCATACTAAAAACCACAAATCGCTTTGATGGCCGACAAAGGCTTATTTATGCAGTTAATAACAGTATGACCAAAACTTTGCAGTTCCTTTGTCGAAATCTTTATTATATGTAAATAACATTTACAAATGTGAACTTCTTAGTAAAGATTATTCCTCAATGTTCCCTTTTAAAATAAACCTGAACATTGTGTATGACGTCTCTCAAGATAGAAGTAAATCAAGTGCATCCATTGAGCTGATGAACTATTATTCATTTGTTTTTATGTGTTTTTTTACCACCTGGATCTTTTAAAATGAGAAATATGCTTTATTCACAATAAATCAAAACAGCCGGATTCCAACTACAATGTTTTGCTGTATTTCCCACCAACTCTCTGCTGCTGAGCTTGTCGGTGGGGGAGGGGCGGCATGAGGAAAGGTGGAGTGTGGGTTCATGCAGGATGATGCCTTCTTCCCGGGTAGGGCTCTAACGTTAGACTTGGATATGTCATTTTCTGTTCGAAAAACACAATGAAACAAATATTTATTGACAAGGGCAGAACCTAAATTCGCAAATAGATGTTCAACACGGAAAGTATTACGCTAATTATGGCGGTGAGTTGGTTACGGCTAATGCTGGTTACAGTAAGTTATAATTGGCAGTTTGGGAACATGTGGTTTCCTAATAAATTTACACCAGCTCTGGAGAGAGAGCAATCGATAAGACCAAGATTGTCTGTCGGATCTGTTATACTGAAGTCAGACATGTTGCTGGAAACACATCCAACGTGTTAAATCATTTGAGGTGACATCATCCGAGTGCGTGTATGACAGGAGCAAGGAAGAAATCACCTCTGTAAGGTCGACTGCCTGTGGCATTTAAGGCACTTTTGGTAGGAAATTCAGACCAGAAAACATGGGATTTAATTCATCATGATGTATTATTTTTTAATTATTTCACATATTTTTATAATGTGCAAATAAGCGTCTTTTAGGTTTTGTTATTCAGACTTGTTGACGTCAGACACAGTACCTTTGCTTTACCATTGTTCCTAGTTTTGTTTTAGTAATAAATCATTTCAAAACAAATTCGTTTTTCTCTGCTGTATCAAAATTGCACCGAACAGTGAACCCCAAACTGAGGTTTGTTCCAAAACATGAATTTTGTGTTACACTCCCACTCCCAGGCTAATTTCAGAGAATATCAAAATCATAAAGAATTGTGCTACGGGCCGGATGTGGCCCTTGGGCCTTGAGTTTGATATATGTGCCATAGATTGTATTTCCGTTCATGTGCCTTAAAGGGTGTCACTTAAAGGTCAGTACTGTGGCATTGAAAGCATAGCCAAATTGGCCAGTGTCCCGGGTCCTCTGTATTTCTATCAGCCTTTGATAGTTGTACTCATAGAGTTAGTGTCATACAGCTATAGAGCTGATATTCTTTAACATATTAAAATAAACATCAATGGGGGAAGCCATTTATCAGGGTCAGAATGAAAGTCTGATTGTCTTTATGCATTTTGTGGACTTAGCTTGCCTGTGCTCTGTGCCTTTATGTGACCTGTTGTGTTCTGCTCTGCTTGCCATGTGTAATACGCGGCGACGCCTCCCTAAGGTGGGCTTTCAGCTCAGGAGGCTCCCTCTCAGCTTGGCCCAGTTGTGCCGCTGCACTTTGTGGGGCTGTGTCTGCACCACAGTTTCATCAGCATCGTGCTGCTGAGCAGACCAAGGTCAGTGCTGCGTCCTGGCCCTTGTTTACTCTGCCAGGCTGCAGTTTGCTGCAGTGACACACATGCAGCTAGGAAGTGCTGTAAGAATGTTGGATTCAGGCGACATCTTCACACTCCCTGGGAATAGCCTTTTCCCATGACTTCCTCATTTCTCTTCTTCAAAGCCTGCTGTCTCCTGCCTGTTACACTAGAGTTTGTGCTCACGTGTTTCTAAAGGCTTTAGGTATTGTTTTACTACAAGGTAAGTTGTATTTTAGTAATATCTGCAGTTTTTTCTGTTTTCCCTTCCTCTCCTTAGTGAAAGCACAAGCAAGGCAAGGTGCATTCTTTGGTCTCTGCAAGTTTGAATTTTAAAAGTCTATCTGCCTCCTGTTCACCTCATTTTTTCCCCTCGTTTTGCTCTGTTTATTTACCAATGACAGACCTCAAACTTTAATAAGGAGACGTTATTAAATATCAGAGTAGGAAGTAGTCTGCTACAATCCATCTTCCCATCTATCTGCTAACCACTTATTCCGGTCGGCGTCGCGTGGAGGAGCAGAAGCACAGGACAAAAGACTGCAGTTACACCTCTGTCAGGATAACAGTCCATCGCAAACAGCCTGTGGTTAAGTTGTAAATAAAGATGCTGCAGACCCATTTATTTTGAGGTGTTGCTAAGATTTATATAAATATGTTGCTATATATATAAATATGCGCACTACATTTTTAATGATGATCGTTATTTTACTTGAAAATTAAATAGAAAGCTTATAACCCAGACATGGTTTTTGAGTTGCTAACAGTTCACAATAGTTATTGCTTCATAAAATACTGTCATCTGCCACAACCATAGCTACTCATTCTTACCTTAGAACAATCTCCCTTCGCACTGAACACACTGCGGTGCCATTCAGTGAGAAGCCACAGTTTGACACCATGTAATGTTGTTATTTTTTGGCTGCTAACTCTGCTCCCTTCAAAGGTTACCACGGGCAACACAAGACCTTGTTAGTCCAAGCCTAGAATTGCTGCTGTAATGGCAAAGGTTTCAGCACTAGTTATCAGAGCCATATTGTGTCTTCCAGTTCTCTTTGAATTTGACTATTTACCTGTCTATTAAGATTGATTGAAAATGGAGTTAATGAGCTGAATAAACATCTCTTCATGATAGCCTTAACTTTAAGAAAGCAAACCAGATCAGTACAGAACTTTTTTTCTAAATTTTTTTTGCCCAAGATATGTTTAATAATATTAGTAATATTCCATTAATTCTGTCATGCGGATTTAATAAATGGTGAATGGTTTTGATAATGAGGAATGTTAATCTTGACACTCTTAGAGCTCTGGACTCAGATGTCTGTTTTTAACCACAACGTGGAAAAGTAAAGTGCAGTAATTTATTTCTACGACAACAGACATTCCAATTAAAATACGAAAATAAACCAATAAATGGAATCTTTCATACTTTTTTGCTGTGGTTTTTGCTAAAATCTAGAATTGTACCCAAAGAACTCACATTTCAGCCAAGAAATGAAAACAATCTCAGAAGCGTTACCCAAAAATGCTAATTTGAGGAATATTTTCATTACAAAACCTTTAGTTGTGGATTCTATTAATAACACATTTGCATCACCTGGTTACTGAAAATCAGCAATGCATACACCAGTCCTGCAGTCTCTGCAGTCTCTGCTTATGCCTGTGTATTCAGTGGAAGGAAAAATTACAATTGTATCATGTTTATTTTAGTATACTGTAGATCTGTGTTATGTACTTGATAATAGGGGACAGGCAGTATACTGAGAATTTACTGATGTTAAACAGCGTTTACTAACCTAATTTTGCTAATGTCAGTATGCTTGGGAATTGCTTCCCAAGCGATTCATTTTTGTTCCCTTAAAAAGTGCAACAGTCATGCAGCCATATTGAAGCTGTCCCAAGAAATATTCTTGCACTTGTGGAAATTGCCAATAAAGTATAATTTAATTAAAAAAAAAAAAACCCTTTGCGTTATTGTTATGGTTGTTCATCTATTTAAGCAAAACAAATATCTATTAGTTATAGTTGACTTAAAATGTTCAATAAATGTTTGTACTAATCCTCTGTTCTGTCTGCATAAATTATGTCATGCATAGAGCTATGAAATGGCCTGAGCGGCCACAACATTAATAGTTAAGAACAATTCAATAATTGAATCCATTTCCAAACATTCTTATGTGTACTGTAATACTGACTATTCATTTTCAGGGAGCTGTGATGATATTTTACATTATAATATTCTAAATAATTGTTGTAAATTGTCTAGGTAAATGTTTAACAATATTGTGATATTGATTGGTAATCCTTGCTTGTTGCTCATTTTCATTAAGGTAAATGAATATTTTTTTGAATGAGGACAGATAGACATTTGTCTGCAAAATTAAAAGCCTTTACCTCAGTCTTTTCAAGTGAAAGTGAGGATGTGAAATGAAATTGGTATGGCAGAATTTGCCTTTAATGTAAATTTTGGCCAGCTGCCTCAAGTAATTATCATGAGTAACGATGTATTATGTCTGTCTAAGTTGTGCCATCTTTGTAAGATATGGACTGCATTGTCTTTATCCAAGCAATGAGATGCACAGATCCAGGTTCACCTTAGGTTGAACTCTGGCTAGACTAGTATATGCCTTTGTTGTGATATGGAAATTACTTTATCAGGACATGTATTGTGCACCTTATTTGTGTTACAGGCTCTTATTTAATTATTTTTGTTTAAATAGCTGCACATTTCGTCCCTGCTTAACAATGCTTACACTACTCAAGCAGAGAAGGCTACAGGCACGACTAGGTTATGCTGTCAGGTGCTGCATTCACAAGTGCTGGAAAAGCAATGATCCATTTGCAGATGGTCCTCCTGCAAAGTGGAAACTGTTGTTTTGTATTTTTGTTCTCCAACTTCTTTTGCCTTAAGTAGCTTTTTGTCATCACTGTCACTTAATAGAATACGTAGTAGATTTTGATAGTAATATTTTAATAGAGCATAAATTTTAAAAAATGATGTTTATGATATGTTCTTTGCATTTTAGTTATAAAAGGGCATGAGCCATCAGGAAACCACAAAAGTGTAATCTGTAGTATGCAGAACTTTGTGGAATTGAAGATTTAGGATTTGTGAAAAATAGTTGAATGTTATACTAAGCTTCTTGCTGAAAACACTCTCTGTTGATTTATTTTTTTTACTCTGTCACAGAATTTAATTTCCAGCATTAAAAACACTTTTTTCCCTCCCCGTAGATAACAGAAGCTGGCAAGGAAAATTTACCAACTTGGTTGCACTGGGATGAGGACAGCGCTGCACTTCAAGGCATCCCACTGGCACAGGACAAAGGAGTCCACTACATCTCTGTGTCTGTGTCCAAGGTGCCTGGCAACAGGAGCCGCGTTGTTTCCAGCTCTGATGTTTTCGCCATAGATGTGCGTCCTGAAGAGTATGCTGACACTGACCCCATTCAACTAGTTCTCCCGTCTACAGCCAGCTATGTCCCGCCTTTTGTCTGTGGCAGTGAGGAACCTGTTACAGTTATCACAGTCATCTTGGATGCTGATCTCACCAAAATGGACTCCAGGCAGAGGGTAAACCTGATGGTGAACATAAAGAAGTTTTCTGGAGTCGAGCTTCAGCATATGAAGGTCCTTCCTGTTGTAAACAATCGCCTCTTTGACATGTCTGCTTTTATGGCTGGGCCAGGCAATGCGAAGAAGGTGGTAGAAAATGGAGCATTGGTATCCTGGAAACTGGGTTGTGCCCTTGACCAGACCAGTGTGCCTGACATTAGCAGTGTCCAGGTGCCTGCTAAGGAGGGCACAATGTCAGCCCAATTGGGATACCCAGTTGTGGGGTGGCACATTGCCAACAAGAAACCTCATCTGCCCAAACGTGTCAGGCGGCAACTCTACAACACCCCAACACCTGTTCCCTCCTTGCTTCCCCCAACAACATATCCAGAACCACCTGTACGCATCGTGCCCACACCAACTTCACCTTCAATTGCACCCACCACTGACCAGTCAGCTCCTCCTGTACGAGGACCTGTTCCTTTACCTGTGAGGCCAACCATAAAGTTCAAAGACCCAATTGCTCACACTCCCACTTTGGGTCCTCATCAACCAACTAGGATCGTGGACACTACTAGCACTATTCCTGTTCAGCCCACTGTAACAAGACCAGTGTATGTTGAGGCTACGGCTTCTGTAACCCCACCAACAACCACCACTAAAAGACCCAAACCCTCAACTACTAGGAAATCCAAGAAGTCAAAGACAACCACCCCATTGCCCCGGGATCCTAAAACCACTACTGCTAAACCCTCTAAGCGAATAACACCACTATCCGTTGTGCCTGAACCAGGGAATGAGAAGCCAAGCTTACACAACCCCATTGATGAAGTAAATGTTTGGGTAGGCTCCTACTTTGAAGTGAAAATCCCCTCTGACACCTTCTTTGACAAAGAGGATGGCACTACTGACAAGCTTCGACTAACACTACGGATGAACCATAATGAAGTAGTTGGGGAAAGCTCATGGATACAGTTCAATACTACCAGCCAGCTGTTGTATGGCCTACCAGATAGGCAGCATGTAGGAAAACATGAATATTTTATGCAGGCAATGGATAAGGGAGGTCTGAGTGCCATAGATGCCTTTGAAGTCCATGTCAACCAGTGGACATCACTTGAAAAGTCTCCTGTCCTCTTTCTTGCTCGTTTCCATGGCGATCCACTGGCTATTGCCAGTGATGTTCACAAGAAGATCCTATTAGTAAAGAAGCTGGCCTATTCCCTGGGAGATCGTAACAGTAGCACAATCATGCTGAAGAACATCACTAAGGGATCCATAATGGTAGAGTGGACAAACAACAGCCTCCAGCAGAATCCTTGCCCCCGGGATCAGATTGAAGCTATGAGTCGGAGAATCTCGGACAATCAAGGATGGCCCTCTGCGATTTTCAGCAATGCCATGGAGCCGGACTTCAGACCCATCAACATCACTGTTCGAGGCACAGGCAGCTGTCATCGATACAGCTTTGTGCCCCCAGGAGAGGTCCCAACTCCTCCCCCTTCTGCTGTCACGCCCTCTGTGGGTGTGGACCATCAGAGCACTGATGACGTGTACCTTCACACGGTTATCCCAGCCGTAGTAGTGGCTGCAATACTACTCATTGCTGGCATCATTGCCATGATTTGCTACCGCAAAAAGCGCAAAGGGAACCTCACGATCGAGGACCAGGCCACATTTATCAAGAAGGGTGTGCCCATCATTTTTGCTGATGAGTTAGATGACTCCAAGCCCCCTCCTTCCTCCAGCATGCCCCTCATCTTGCAGGAAGAGAAGCCTCCGCTTCCCCCCCCAGACTACCCCAACATGGTCACCCAGGAGACAACTCCCCTCAATCAGGACCATTTGGGAGAGTACACTGCCCTGCGTGATGAAGATCCTAGTGCGCCGCCATATCAGCCTCCCCCTCCCTTTGCTGTCCCTATGGAAGGGAAGGGCTCTCGGCCGAGGAACATGACCCCATACAGATCTCCACCTCCATATGTGCCACCCTAACATTTTTTGCAAACCTCCAAGAGGAGGGTGACAGGGGACTTAAGCAGTTCCATGCCAGTGCTGTCTGTCTGAAAACAGCTGGGTGAGGGGTGTGTACAACATGGGATGGGAACGAATAACATAGAGAAAGACATTGGGGTTAGATGTGTGGGGAGGGATTTTACTCAAAAGGTAGGGAAGGACAATGTTAGTGGGTAGAGACCAGTTAAGAGTGGCCATCATAAATGCCAATCAAGCATTTTTTGTTTTGTTTTTGGATCAGACTGCTGGCCTCCAGAGCACACTTAATTTTCTCTACTCTTATTTAAAATAAAATATCTGTAAAATGCAGGCTTAAAGTTTTGGTTAAGAAAAAAAATGGAAAGGCAAAAATGATAATTTATACCTAATCTTTTTTCAAGGAGGTATATTTCTGCAGTTGACATGCTGTCTTGTTAGTCCTGGTGTTTGGTCCAAAACTGTCTAATCTAAATGGGCGCAGGTCTGATTACCTCGAAAAGAAACTAGCATCGAAAATTTTTGTCGGCTGTTGTTATATTGCACTCAGACATGCATATGTTTCAATATGAAGTTCTTTATTCATAAACATCAGTTTGAAATAACCTGTAGGAAACCATCATTGTAATTATGCAGATATTTTATAATTTGTCACAATGAGGTTTTGTCAATTCTCATGTATTTCAGAAGACGAGTAATCATTACTTGGTATACAGGATATTAAGAAGGCCGTGGTGTGATTTTGTTATTGCAGGAATGCATATAAACATGGGTAGGCAATATTCTGATGAAAAGATAAGATCTGATTAACTACATCTTGTCATTATATTGGTGCTCCATTTTTTTTAACTGTGTTGAGAAAATTGCACAGATGTTGCATTTCAAATATCCAAACCGTGTTGTGTCGAAAGACATGCTATTGAGGGTCAAGGTCTTATACATATTGTGCAATAAAAATATGGCTTCCTGCATTTTATTTCAGTGAAAGTAGTATATTACATATTTATAAATTATATATATATATATATATATATATATTTAAATATGTATAATTAAATCTAATAATATGAATATATTATATCATTTATAATTATGTTCTCCCATTAAAAACCTGTCCTATACTGTACAGGTTACATAATACCACAGATGTCTTGATTTATTTTTTACAAGGCCTGATTTGGAAAAACTAGGTATTCAAGAAAAATTGAAATTGAGGACTTTTAAAAGGAAGCATTTATACCATCCTAAAATTTCTTTAATACTGAATAAAAATACAGTAATGCAGTTTTGTAGATATTAGTCTAATAGAGATTGGGTTTGTTTGGTATTTTAAAATGTACATAAAAATTTTGCCATGGTTATGCATATATATCATATTTTCTTTTTCCTGATTTTGATCTCTCTTCACCAGTTGAGGGGTTTTGGGGGACAGTGAAGGAAGCTCAGTGATTTGTTTCTCCAAAAGTAAACTTTGCAATAATGTCTGGTGTGGTACGGTTGCTGCGGGGAAGCCGAGGTGAAATAATCTATCCAATGAGCCATCTGTGCAACCGGAATTCTTACAACGTCTCCATGACTTTTTGTATGGGCCTACTGTGACGTGACCAGCTCCCTGTATGTGTTATGTTAATAAGTTGACACGAACCATGCCAGGTAACTCTTTGTACAACATAATATTAACTTAATATACATTTTTACATCAGTATTGATTTGCTCCATTTTTATGGTGTCTATTTTTTTTTGCATAAGAAGAGCAGCGGAAAAGTCTTTGGTTTGCTGTTTGAGTTCCCAGATTTCTCCTGTCCTGGGTATGTGAGCTGTCTGTGAATCCTTAGGAAGTGCAGTCTATGACCTTTTACTTGTATGGCTTGGAACAAAAACTACAGAATGTCGATATAGGCAAATCAAATCATTAGTGATAAAACGTGTGTCACACGTATAACGTGACTGCCGTGCGACGAAGTACATTCAGCACCAGTGCGTAATATATAGAAAATCATCATTCTATTTTAGTATCTTGTCAGATGTGGCTCTTCAGCCGCTGTGATCCCAGTTGTAAATCAGGCGGTCACCTTTATGTCTTGAGTTTATGAGTTTCACAACATGTGGCCTTTTTGTTCTTGTGCAACGGTGGTCCTCTTCAGTCCATCATGATGTTCACCAAGCCGTCAGTTTGTGTAGCCAGCTGTTCACACCAAACATCTTAAACAAGATGAGATGGAACTGGGGACACTTCTGAGTGGAAAGTAAACCAAAGAGGCAAATTTTAGATGGTCGTTTAACATTTTTTATTGCTTTTACTTCATTCAGTGGAAGTATTCCACTGTTATAACTGTTTATGAATTCTGTTTATGGTTATTTTAGGAATGTTTTTGCATATTCAGATTAATTTACATTTGGATTCATTTAATAATAATTCCAGTGGAATCCTACACAAAATGCATAGCTTTTGGCTTGTTAAATTCACATCGCTTTAGATGCTTGTCACTGAAGGTAGTTATGTCTGGTTATCAAGAGCTCAGCACACAAGTATTGTGCAATAGTTGTTCGAGGTGACGTACCTCTACATCCAAAATAATTGTTTATGCCTGTAATTTTTTATTTTACAGTTTAATTTGCCTTTTAAGCTATAAGGTTTTCTGTCTCAAGCCTTACACCCATATCTCCAGTTATTTTAGTTGGCGATTGAACAGCTTGGAGAAAAGGTTTTTTCCCCTTACAACTGGAATATTAAGGATATCACAATATGTGTGATGAAAGAAATAAAGTATTTTTATATGTAAATATTTTGTATGGCAAACAGAAAAGCATCTTGTTTGAACTTTTTTCCTTGTCTCTTTAATGCTTTGGACCCTGTCTCCCAGAAATGTACCATTAGTGAGCATGTGAGAACAGTGATAGCGGAGTGGTGCTCTTGTCAGACTGGGCGTCCAGTAGGATCTGGCCCAGCTTGGCTGTGTGTGTGTGTGTGTGTGTGTGTGTGTTAGTTAAAGCAGTGTTTTTGCCTAACCCTCTAAATATAGGGGCTTGTGTGAATCAACTTTATCCTTACATGGAAAACAGAGGAAGCTTGCTAATGCTGAAAGAGAAGGCAAAGGAAGAGGAAAGAAGCAAAAATATGCAGGCAAGCCTGATGGTTGTCTGTTACCATGGCAACTTAGTTTTTAAATTATGTCATGCGAGTGCGTAGGTAAAGTAAATTGTAGGGGGAGTGCAAATCAGCATTTTATAATTTCTGAGAGCATTATTTATGCCACTAAACACTGTATGTTGAAATCTTGTATTAAAACCTGTTTTCATCAAGTGTCGCCATTTGCTGCCTCTTTATTTCTTGATGTTTTTGGCATTCTGGGGTCTTGGTGTCTGACGTTAAGAGTAACTGTAAGAGCGACTGCAGAGAATGTTTTATCCTTCAGAGACGGTCCTTTCATTTCTATGACGAGTGCTAGTCTGCAAAAGCTGAGTCATCTTTCAATAAACTATTTTAGACCTGGAACACAAGGTGTGGAAGTTAAGTCCTTATGTCCATGTTTGGTTTTAAATTTTGCTGGATACTTTCTCTGCCGTCACCTTCACATGACCATATCAGTCTTATTTTGTCGTCAGATTTGAGTTCTTCTTCTAGTTCTGTCATCCAATTTTCTGCCACTGTTTTGTGCTTCACTTTCTGTGGTGGATTGTCCTTTGACAGACAAGCCACCAAAAAGAGACGATGTGTCCTGAATTCTGAGGAACCATAGATATTTCCATGTTGTGTGTGTTTAAACTGAGATAATCTACACAAGTGTTGCCCGGAAAGAGATTACTGTACATGTATCCGATTGCGAGAAGTTGTTTGTGAACCTGTCGGAATTCACTGGATTTTAGCATGAATGGCTCCTAAAAATGTGATCTGATCCTGATCTAAGTCATAAGGAAAGTCTTTAACAAACAACAAAAAGACTACACAATGAACTGAAATCATTTTGGCAAATGTGTCTGTAGTGTGGATGTTAATGACTGAATGTATCTGGATAGGCACTTTTGCAGCTGAGAATTCATGCTGTGGTATGAAAAACAGACATTTATATTGCAGCCAATGCAGTTTTTCATTGGGTTGTCCTTGAGTGGATACTGTCTTGGTGCTAATGGGCCACAAGAGCTCAAAAGCGCAGTCCATCCACAGATGACTGACATCAGTTTTATTGTCTCGCCATTGATGGGGTCAGTGATTTCCTCTTCACTTGGTCATGTGGTCATTGAATAATGCTACAGTATATGAATTACCCTGCAAAGGGCCTTTTTTTGCCTGTTTCTCATTTAGGATGAGAAACAGGCAAACTGCAAATGTTTTACCTAAACTGAGGTGATTTGCTGACTTTCCTGATGCAGGTAAATCTGAGCAGTGTATTTAGACAACAAACTGACATTCAGATTAACTTTACTGCCAAATATAATATTTTCTTCCATTCAGTCACGGAATGGAACCACAAATAAAGGTTTGTGGTGTGGTGAGTGTAGCTACACGCTGTATCGGTGTACGATCCTTACCTCTCCCCATTCGGTCGCTGAATAAAATTTAGCTGTGCTATTTAAAGGCAATGAAATTAATTCCTAAACTTGGGAAGTTTTGTTCTCGATGGCAAACTGCATTGAATGTCTTGCTGCCGCTCTTCTCGATTTCCCCTGACATAATCCAGCAAATCTTCGTCATTGTTTTTTTTCTGTCTAGCTGATGCTAGATTCACATACTAATCTAGAGATTTAAAATTTGTTTGGTCAAACTGGTATTTTCCGGTAGGCTGCAGTCTGGTTGATGAACAGAGTGATAGACCAGCTGGCAGAAAACCCAGAACTTCTCTAGGACACTTGTGCACATCATGAATATGCAGCCTGAGCCAAAGCTAAATCTTGCTCAGAATCCTAACAAGCACATCGAAAATGAACATAGTGGTGCTGCAGTAAGATGCACACTTTATTTTTTACTATAAAATACAAAAATGTTTCGTATATTTTTAATAAACTATAGCACATTAGCTGAAGACAAAACATAAGCATTCTAGGTCTCAATAATTGTTCAGATATTTAATATATGTGCATTTCCATCCATGGGCTTGTTAGCCTATAACAGACGGCTTAAGGCACAAAGCTGGGGAATACCTTGGACAGGATGCCAGTCTGTCGCAGGGTACTTGCATACACACACAGTCATACACCATGGGCAATTCAGAGACACCAATTAGCCTTATAGCATGCCTTTGGACTGTGCATGCATTTAAACTTGAAAATTATATTTGTGTAATCTGAGTTTTTGGTAAGGTTTACATCAGGGGCCGGTGTGTATGCAGGGTTTTGGGATAACCTGTAGGTCATCTGTTCAAACCCAGGTGCGAGGACTCTTTAGCCAAACAGTCCTCTAATTAGTAATCTAATTAGGGAGTTCCAGAGAAAACCTGCATGCACAGCAGCCCGTTCTGGATTGCCCATCCCTGGTTTATATTGTCTATCCAAAGTCTCTTCCATCATCATTTTCTTTGAAGACAGAAAGGAAAGGTGCTTTATCTTGTATATCAAAGTCTCTTGCATTGCTCAAAATGCAAAATATCTCATTTGTATTTGTCGATGTACTATTATAATAATATATGGTATATTTATAATAATATGCATACAATAATCATAATAATAGTTTATTATGTATTATAATACTCTTTCTATTTTAAGTGGGGGAAGTGCAGTGACTTGTTAGATTACATCTTCAGGGCTCAGTTCTGGCCTTGGCTCTGCGCACATGGGTTTCTCCTGAGGACTCCGGATTCTCACCACATTCCCAGGAAATGCAGTGTAGCTGAACTCGTGTCTGTAAACTGCCCCTGATGTATGATTGCCTGTCTGAGCATCCTCTCCCGGATACCTACTGCCCCATGCCTAGTGCTTCCTGGAATAGACTGCAGGCTCACCACAACACTTTACTGGATATGCAGTTATAGATGATAGCTGAATGGAAATGTGTAAAAAAAAATGCTAGATTGGCTGAGAATATTGCTGAAATGGGTAGAACTCATTGTCAGATGCTACGCCAAACCCATTATCGCATTTCTGTGACAGTCTCATATGTATAATTTAGGTTAATTTGTCACAGTTTGTGCAGAAACATGCAAGATACCCTGCTCTCCGACTTTGTTATCCTTTGACATTTTGAAACCATTTTCACCACTCAGCAGCACCTTTAAAGTCTAATTAGTAACTCTGTCCTTAAAAATGTGAAAGAACGACCTGTGACCACAGTAAATGGCATCCCAGGCCCCGTAGCCCCCGCCCCCCCCCATACCGAGTTATATTTGATGGTTAAAAGTAAATGCAAATTCTCTAAAATATGTTATCATATTACAACTCAGATCATGGGGGACATGGCAGCAGAACCCTTACCCTGGATCGAATGCCAGTACATCCCACACCACGTACATATAAACACTCACACACCATAGGCAATTTATAGATGCCATAACATAACTGAATGTCACTGGACTACAGGAGGAAGGTAGATGGGGATACTTACCCATCTGAAAACTACAGTACATCCTGTAAATGAATGAATTACTGAGCATAAGCATTATTTTGGGATTTACTGAAAGTTTGTATAGGCCTGATGTGGCTATTTTAATTAAATCTCAACCTTTTTATTCTTTTAATTGAAATCTTTTGTCTTACTAGTCACGAAAGCATTATTGCATAATTTATTATTGCATAATTTACTCTTTTGTGTTCAACTTACAATACAAGTATAAATCTGTTGTCCAGGCTGTGGTAATAAAAAAAATCTGCTGTTTCTTAGTCCTTTGTGCTTGTTAGTATTTAAAGACTTTTTGGTGCAGTCTGTGGTTTTGTTGCTGATTTTGCTGTTGTCCACAAATGCTTTTGTCATCCCTGGTTATTTAATGCAAGTAACGTAAATCTCCTTTTGCAAATGTTTTATCTGAGCAAATTGCAATAGGCCCAACACATTACTATGATCAGTGATGTTTTCTTAGCCTATGGATGTTGTTGCTTAGAGTTTATGTATCTTTACAAATGACAGTATTATTTTAGATGCATGTCTTTCTTTAGAGCAGAAATAAAACCCTGTGAAATTAGAGGAAAAAAATCATTTTATTCAGGGCATACTTGATACCATGGTAATCGTGTTTATGGATGCTTCTGATGTAACAGTCACACTTTCGAACATACCTCTGAAAGGTTAGATGGCAAATGCCACAAACTCTTCTAAATGAGATGTATAGTGGATTCAGAAAGCAGTGCTCCAGACAAAAAAAAAAACAGGAACCATTGGCTAATAAACCTAGAATATTTTAGGAGCGAAATGCTTTTTTCAGGAGCCACAATGTTCATCACAAAATGGCCCAATTTGTCAACACTACTCTGGATGGAGCCTCGCTTTAATCACGTGATAATGTAGAAGGAAGCATACACGGGTTGAGAGGGAAGATAATTAAAAGCTGCCACTTTTTCCTTTTTTTTCCCTTGGATTGTAAGAGTCAGTGACCACTAGCGACTGGAATGAAAGAACTTGATGCATTCAGGATTAGGTCAGGTTGTGGAGCATGTGGTGATGCAACACGTTGCTGCACTCACCACACAGCAAATCTCCTCGGGATCCTGGCCGGCGACCCCCAACGCAGACACACGATCCAGTCCCACACTCTAAAAATGGCCATTCATCTGCTGCAGCCAGGTGTTACGTGGGCATCCCCTCGGCCTGGTCCAGCCCTCAGGTCCTCAGCAACGAGGATCCCAAGAGCCAGATCACCCTCAGGGAAACACGCCACATGGCTAAAGTGCCGTAACTGACACTCCCTCACAATTCAGGTAATGTGCCTCATTCAGGGCACCTCTAGCAACCATGCATTCGACACAAAGTCAAACCAGTGATACCCAAGGATTCTCCGAAGAGACATAGTACCTTAGGAGTCCAGTCTTTGTCTCAGCTCACTGGACAGTGACAGCAAGACAGGGAGCACCAGGACTCTAAAGATTTGGACCTTGCAAAGGTATCAGGAACACCACACACCCCTTTCCAGTGACCCCATGACCCCCCCATGCTCTCCTAATCCATTTGCTGACTTCATAGGAAGTCACCAGAGACATAAACGTCACTGTTGAGGTAAGTGAATCTCTCGACGAGGTCGACACCTTTCCTGCAGACAGACACACTACTGATGGTTGTGCCTAGGAAGTCCTGGATCTTGGTGTTTTTCGAGGACACTCACAATCCCAGATGCTCAGACTCCTCGCTCAGTCTCTCCAAGAGCCCCGATCAGAGCTTCCATT